AGGTTAAAAAACCGGGTGAATGAGGTTGAAGAACTCAATGATATAGCAGATGACGTGTTAGATGTGTGGGCAAATGAGTATATCACACGCCGACTATGTAAACAAACTAATGTTTTAGTCGATAATGTTTTTAATGAAAGGCCGAAAATTTATTACAACAAGAACATAGCCAATTGTTCCGCGACGGATTGGAGCGTGAGAGGAGCAATTGAAAGTGAAATTTTAAACTTGTTTCCTTTGGTTACGAAAATACGACGGAAACAATATATATTTCAGAATTTAGCGAAATTCTGGTTGCTCAATGACTATATAGAAGCTAGGAGTGACAGTTTAATTAAGGAAAGTGAGGGTCGACTATATATTACGCTTGCGGAAGATAGGCTTAGATTCGTGAAGGACACGAAGTAAATCTATTTAATTTAATCATTTGATCTCCAATCAATTGCCGGAGGATTATTTCTCAAACAGTTCAATTAGAGCTGAATTCATGAAATGTCATCGAAACAACGTGTTTAATTAATAATGACCGTTTCAAGGGTATTATGTTTGTAACAATTGTAGCATACGCCCCCCTCATTTCCAAGTATCTCTTATCGCTCAATAATTTTCGCATGTAACCGCGCAAGTCAAAAGGGAAATACCAAAAAACCCACCAATCCAAAACCGTCAAATTTCATGATTGAAAATTGAAATTTTAATTCAAAACTGGGACTGAAGCACGCTTACGTCCGAGAAGATGAAGCAAAAAGCTGCATGAGCGCGGCTGGAAGAACTTAATATTATATAGCTTTACAGAGAAGAAGCAAGAAGTGCAGCCTGAGGTCAAAGTTGAGCTCTGCACTCCGGTTTCAAGAAATTAGCAATTCTGGATTAATTTTACCCTGCTTTATTACAGCTTTGCTGAATCTATATGCTAGAGACTGTTGGTCTAGATGCAGTAGGTCTGGAGACCGTAGGTCTAGAGACTGTAGGTCTAGCGACTGTAAGTCTAGCGACTTTAGGACTAAAGACTGTAGGGCTAGAGACTGTAGGTCTAGAGACTGTTGGTCTAGCGACTGCAAGTCTAGCGACTTTAGGACTAGAGACTGTAGGGCTAGAGACTGTAGGTCTAGAGACTGTTGGTCTAGCGACTGTAAGTCTAGCGACTTTAGGACTAGAGACTGTAGGGCTAGAGACTGTAGGTCTAGAGATAGGTCTAGCGACTGTAAGTCTAGCGACTGTAGGTCTAGAGACTGTAAGTCTAGAGACTGTAGGTCTAGCGACTGTAAGTCTAGCGACATTAGGTCTAGAGACTGTAGGTCTAGAGACTGTAGGTCTAGCGACCGTAAGTCTAGCGACATTAGGTCTAGAGACTGTAGATCTAGCGACTGTAAGTCTAGCGACTTTAGGTCTAGAGACTGTAGGTCTAGAGACTGTAGATCTAGAGATTGTAGAGAGAGACTGTAGGTCCATAAACTGTAGATCAAACGACTGTAGGCCTAGAGACTGTGGGTCCAGTGACTGTAGGTCTGCCGACTGTAGGTCTAGAGACTGTAGGTCAAGTTACTGTAGGTCTAGAGGCTGTAGATCAAGAGACTGTAGGTCTAGAGACTGTGGGTCTAGAGATTAAATTTAAATTTACCCTGAGTAAATGGATGTCGGATCAGGCATTATGGACCGACCGCAGCAATATATATTCTTCTACGAAGAAATTATCGTGGCGTCTGGTTCAACTGAACTTTGAGGGCACATTGCGTATTGAAAAAAAAACTTTGAATAAATGTGATGATGAGCATAAAAATGACACGAGAACGTATAAAAACGGATGAAAATGACAATAAACAACACATTAAAAGGCTCTCCATGTGGATATATGGAGAATAATAATGATTAGAATGAGCATGTGAAACGCGAATGATATAGTATTAGTCAAAACTATCGACTTTAAAAAACGTTGAAGTTCCTTCAAACAATTATGATTATCAATGCCGATGATCATTAAATAGCATGATAGGGAAAAAGTTATATGAGAGTAGAAAATGTTTTCATTTTTTATGTCCAAAACATTTGGGACATAAATTATAATCGAAATGAATAAATAATGTGTACATTCAGATTTTATTTTGGATCTCTTTACGAGGTGCAGCAATATTTCGATCTTCTAGATTTAGTCCAAGGCATGCAAAGTAGGCATTATTTTTTTCAAAAATTTCAATCAAAATTTGCTTGGGTAAGAAATACAGTCTTCGTAGTGAAGTGAAATTCATGAACGGATCTTTAAAAATTTCTAATAGAAATTCACTTAAAGTTGTTGGATTGCACTGAATTTGTGAATTTGTGAACGATTGCGTCTACAATTGGAATTGGTCAATGCTGCAAATTGGAATTGGAATTTTGGCTCAGTCACTGCAAATATTACGGATTTGGAGTTTTGAGAAAATGACACACACACGTGTACACTATATTGTGTACACGTGTACAAAAACTCGATTTTTGAAAGCTTGCGTAGCACTTGAGCAAAAAATATGCTCTCGCATGCGCCAGTCTCTATTATGACTCTCAATTTTTACCTTTTTTAGTCAAAGGCCTTAGAATTTACCTTTATTAAAGAGTTAGCTTCGCAACTGTTAGCAATAGGAGAATGTGCTGGCTGAGAAGTCTCCGGAATGAAATCGATATTTTTTAGAACGAGTACAGCGGGAGAGAGGATGCATGACACGCTGTTTGCAAGTGTTTTTCATTCCCGGAAAAAAACTGTTCCATCTTTTCATCGTTGAGGTCAAGGTAACGCAAATGAATGGCAGATTGTTCGTCGTCCCACGACCTGACACCTGCAAAAAAATTAGATTCAACAGCGAATCCAACCCCGGAAGCTTCACATGTATCTAGATAATCAAAAACTCGCATAGAGTTTTCTGAAGAAAAACGATCCCCGCTTACCGTAATATCATAAATAATGTAAATAGAGGTTCTGAAGCTATTAAACTTTGTCATCATCTCGGAATTTCTAGGGGAAATAAAGCTGAATTTTACTTTGGTCCCGATTTCAGAGCTCATCTTCATCCACTCTCTCCATCTCGTCATCGTCTTTTCCTAAGACAAAATCACGACCACATTAGCATTTATATAGAGGGACTGACGGCCTGGCAGGCTGGCGTGCCCTACTGCGCCTCAAGCCACGATGTCAGCAGCGCCCGCCACACCTCAGCCCACACGCACCAAATTCAGCCTCATTTGATGCCCACGTGATGATATGCGAAAGATATACCCACAGTCACGTGATATGCTATACGGCATACTTTTAGCCACATTATATGCCTCACGACATACTCCCATCCACATGTTATACCGCAAGATATACCAACAACCCCACGATATGCTACGCGATTTACTCCTAGCCACTTTCAATGCCACACGATATAATCACAGCCACATAACATGCCACACGATATACTCGCAGCGACATGACATTCCACACGATATACTTCTAGTCATGTGACATGCCACACGATATAGTCCCAGCATATGGCATGCCACTCGATATACCCCCTGCAAAATATACCAAACGCTATACTTCCAGCCACACTTTCAGCACATCTGTTTCCCTTTCGTCAGCTACACAGGGAAGCCCGGTGCCATGAAAGGAAATTAAATTGAATTAAATCTGAATCGTTTAATGTAAATTTTACAGAATTACATACTTTCGACGGTTAATTATTAAATAAATTATTAAGTTATGTCGCCTAACTCTGCTAATTATTATTAGTTCTTAATTGATTATTCCAAATATTCCGTTAGGGTTGATATAGAATCCATTAAAATACCTGCAGCTTGAACCGGCATTGCCCGGGTTAGATAAATGCCGGGTAAGCCGACGAGATAGATAACGAATTCTGCCAGTCCGAATACTTTCACTTCAAAATCTATGTCCACTATCCAGATAATTGCGAAACAAAAAAGTATTTAAAGAATGCCTTGTTGCAACCACCATTTAACACGGAATCCCTTTAGATCACATTTTTAAATTCGAAGCAAATTCAAACTTTTTATGTTTAAATCGAATTTAACCAATCAAATTAAAATACGCATTTTATTATCATAATTCAGCGTTTTCCCTCGTAGTCTTGCCAAGCCCTGAATATGATTCAACCACCACAAATAATTATTCAAATACATGTATTATTCCGACACAAAAACACGTTCGAACAGCAGCTCTATATTTAAGACACTTGGCTTTAAACATAAAGAAACGCGCGAACTTGAAAAAAATAATCAATAGATTATTCTATTTCGTACTGAATTAGGAGTTCCTATATGACAGATTGATAAATAAGCACCGATGCTTCTCCATTCTTTGAGTAAACAGTCTCGGAAGTGCCGCCATAACGCTCCTTCAAATCGCTTTTCAAGGCTCCCGGAGTGCTCCATAGAGATGGAATCGTTCCAGAATGCGGCAATTCCAGGATCTCTAGTGCCAGGATCGTCTATGATTATTGCCAGACCGGAATCTTCTGTGTTTGCGTACTCTGGACAACACAGTTAATATTTCCATGCTATTGCTGTGGCTAGCTTATAGCGGCCTATATATAGTTGAATAGAGTTACTACCTGGCGTATTATGCATAAGTGGTACAAGTTACATTACTACGGTACATGATGATAACGTTATCGAACTCCCACTGTCTCTTTAACTTTAGATAATTCTTGTGAAACTGAATTGGCAATTCATCCTGAAACGAGAGTTTTAACCGACGTAACAATGTAAAAAAATATAACGCAGTACTCACTGCAGTGAGTGACAGAGAACGCATTTTCTCGTCGACGAACTTGAGGTCACGGACAGACGGACGGACAGACAGACAGACGGACATGGCGAGCACAATAGTGCATTTTTACCATAAATGAGAAGATGCGCTAAAAATCATAAAGAAAACGGCCTTCGTGGTGCAACTAGCGCCAAGTTTCAGTATCATTCAGGGTAACATTTGACGCACGTATCTCCGTGTAGTGCAGCGCACATACCTTTGTTGTTGAGGTGCTGCGCGATGTCTGCTGTGAGGTGCACTGGCACGACGATCGCCGGCAGTGTTCGGCTGCGGTACAGCGGCGCTGGTTTGCCTGTCGTCGCCCGGCCACCGCCACCGCCGCCGGCCGTGGTGGCCTCCCGCGCAGAACTGCACACAACAAATGCGTTGGAAGAATGCGTAACAAATACGTAACATGCGTAACAAATATACATGGGGAGACATGATATATACAATGCGTAACAAATATACATGCGTGATATATACAAATATACAATGCGTAACAAATATACGTGCGTGATATATACAAATATACAATGCGTAACAAATACGTAACATGCGTAACAGATATACATGGGGGACATGATATTTAAAAACAATGCGTAACATATATACTCGCGTGATATATAAAAATGTACAATTCGTAACTAATATGCATGAGTAACAAATACGCACTACTTGTATCAGGTGCATGGTATCACACAACACTTGTATCAGGTGCATGGTATCACATGACACTTGTATCAGGTGCATGGTATCACACAACACTTGTATCAGGTGCATGGTATCACCATTGAACCCTTAATTGATAAAATAATACGTCATACTGTATTGCTAATTTTAAATTAGAATTAATCTTATCTAAAAAAATATCTAAAATTGAACATATATTGTGTTATGTTACTCAAAGTGCAATAGTAGAAGTAGCAACAATATCATGGTAGATCACACGCATTGAAAACTAGTCTATAGGCTATATGAGAGTAAAATTAACAATATATACTAATGCACTTTGAAATAATTCTCTGCGAACAAAAAAATATATGCATTATGATATTAAGACAATTACGTTTGTATTATGTATAAAAAAGTTCAGCTAGTCTTCTAGTCTGAGTCTCTGAGTTACACGGCCGAAGTAGTTGGACCACTCCTGGTCCACTGCGGTAATTATGCGGACCAGTAATAAATGAGTCCTGCAATGAAAGAGTCAGAAATATCCTATGTGGAAGCCAAATCGACTAATCGTGCGAATAAACAATCGATAAGCATGGAGCTTACGATTAAAACTCACGAAATATATGGATGGGTAAGATAACAAATATTTTTGTTTGTATTTGGTGGGTTTTGCTTTAAATCCGTCAGTGTTTCACATGCGGAGCTACGGACTCGTAACCATAGTACGGAGTTACGGCCAATAGTACGGCCCCAGGGCTACTGCTCGCAGGTACGAATAGAGTATCCCAAGCCTCGATAAATGTTTGAAAAAAAATTCCAATGTACTGCCCAGAAAATCGGTTAAATATTGGCACCATGCATGCGTCGGAGGCGTTCGTGGAACAGCGCGGTTTTGCGCCTCGCGCTCAGGCTGGGCGCTAGAGTAGCGCGGTGAGGCAGGCTTCCCGTCCTCCAATATTGCAATCCAATATAGCAGCTGCATTGAGCTCAAAGAAAATCGGTTGTGTGCCTCGGCACCCCATGAGCGCCGGTGTAAGCAGAAAGTATTACTCATAGTCGTCGTCTTGTACAAGAGCTTTAAATTTTACGAAAACCTTTTCCACATTTACTTCAGCCATGTCATATGCTAAGGCATATCTTTCTCTTTAAGCGCTATTATGCTTACAGAGTCTGACGTTGACATTGACGAATCGAGATGTCAATTGGTTTCATTTAAATGTAAACTCAATTTCGTTCCTCAGCGTTAGGTAAATAGTAATAATTTTCGTTGAATTTTTGTCACTTAATTTGAACGCTCAGGGCGTTGCATATGAGTGAAAGTATAGCTAAGAAGACGAAAGAATGAGAGATGGGGTAGCTATATGTTACAGCGAGCATAAAACAGTTTGTTGCCTAAAGGTTACGCAGGCGCCAGTTAGTCAGTTAGTAAAGGTTACGCTGGCACCTGACGTGTAATCTTTGTGGATAATTTTTATCTTCGAGAAACTTGGATTACATGAAAATTTTTTGGTTTGGCGCGCCTAGAAATTCTATACATCTTGAGCGGTGAAAAATTGTGAGTTTTTAGAAATTCTCTCAGAATAAAACCGGTTAGCTATAACGAATGATGCTGCACTAGATTGCAGACGCATTTTTTCACAAGTTTATTGATTCATTTGGCTTACAATTCCAACAAATATGTTGTGGTGCTAGCAAAGTGGGAAGAGAGGAAGAGGTTGCACAAGGAGCCAGCAAGAGGAAAGTGGAAAGGAAATGATAGTGAGTGATGAATAAAGGCGCTGAGCGCATAACTAATTTGCTCGTGGCTGCTGGGTATTAAGTCAGTTGAAAATATATGGAATTATAAGGCTGGTTAAGGTTTGTGCGGATTAATGACGATGGACTTAATCATCATTAACGATTACAGTGCCAGTGTGAAAATTCCAGTTTTATGCACTTTCTTTATTTCCATGCTTTAAACATCTTTACGAATTGTGATTAAAATGTTTATTTTATCATTCCTATTTTTTCTAGGTTCCTATTTTAATTTTTCTTTTCTTTTCGTCATAATTTTCATTTGTGGTACAAGGATTGCGATTGTTACAATAAAGGAGTTAATTACTTTTAAACAAATATAGTTAATCGCGGGTTGTAGAGTAGGAAATTATGATTCCATTTTAGGTAACACTTATGAGAAAAGTAGGATGAACATATCATGTGGGAGAATGTAGTTAAGGATAAGTTTTAGAGCTACGCGGATGCAGGTGGTGAATATTTAACGTAGTCGTAGTGGGACCGGCCAAAGGCAGGACTCAGTTCGAGGCTATGTGGCCATTGGTGCAAGCGTTCGTCAAGCTGTGACAAGACGAGCGGTCATCGAAGATATGATATCATACACTGTTAGAAAAATTACCGTTAACGGTATTATACCGGCGTTTCAGTGGCCGGTCAGCACGTGAAAGAAACACCGTTTCGCCGTTTTTATTCTAATTTAACACTAGAAATCCGTAAAACATCTGATAAAAACGGCGAAACAGTTTATTTTCACGGGGCCCCCGGCCACAAGAACGCCAGTGGGACCGTTTTTTCACCGTTTTTTCTAACAGTGTAGTGAGAAAGTATTATTAAATAGCGAGGAGGTGACACTGGTTTAGTGGAGATTCAAGAGTTGACCAATAGTCTGTATCAGGCAGAGCTAAGAAATAGCGACGCCACCACGCAAGAGAGCCTTCAACCATGCTCAACATATCGTTTTTTAATTAATTAAGCTCTGACGCCAGAAAACTTTCCATCAACCCAATTTTCAAGCTCGGACCCCCATTTTGTGCAAGATCCAACGTCCCCATAGAAACCCAGCACTAACTCCACCGAAGACTGCGAGCCTAACTTTGCACGACCGTGTGTGTCATCGAGGGAACACGATCCCGAATATTCACGGGAAGTCCATCCTTCACATGAGCGCTACTGAATTTATTCACGGGAACTTCATCCTTCACACGGGCGCTACTGAATTTATTCACGGGAAGTTCATCCTTCACACGGGCGCTACTGAATTTATTCACGGGAAGTTCATCCTTCACACGGGCGCTACTGAATTTATTCACGGGAAGTTCATCCTTCACACGGGCGCTACTGAATTTATTCACGGAGGAACTCAACCGAGTATACAAGCACCGTAGAGAGAGTTCACGCATGAGACTGCAGCCGAGAGCTTTGCACCTGACAGGTTCTGGTTACAAACTCTAGAATTTCTGCATCTTGTTGTCTGTACTTGGCCTTCAAAATGTATCTTTAAAAATTTCACTATATTTCTATAACCTTTTTACTGATAATTGTTCACTGTAAATTAAATTGAGGACCACTACACGACACCAATTGAGGCCACTTTAGAAAAGCTAGATTCAACATCTGCCACACAAAATTTAAGGCCAGAGTTATAGCTAAATAAATCTAATTTGTAGCGCAGTATATATCATGCACAAGTACTTGTTGACCTTCGGAGATAAACAATAATTGGTAATTAATCGTCGCATTGTGAAGGGAAGTAGTGATTCGGACTAAAGGCTTCAACAAGGGGAGCAATAAACTAGGTCATTGTCACGCGACTCATCGTATTAGATCGCTGGATTGATCGAATAAAGCCATCACATAAAAAATAAAATGTGGAATTTATTCCATAGAGAGAGGAACGATCACCTGAAATTTAAGAAAATATCTTCCTATTTAAGTACGAGAGCATAATAAGTTCAATAGTTTTGGTATTAAAGGAATACATATGTGGCAAATTTGTCTTTTGATTCATGAATAGGAAACGACGTTAATATTAACAAGTAGAGCAGCAACTAAGTGCTTCGTTCCACAAGTTAAGGAAGCGACCGAGATTTTGAAGGTAAATCGTATTCCTCCTACGAATTCATCGTAGTAAAATATCACCATAGCTACCACTGGTAATTTCAAGATCAAAATTTTTTAAAATAAGCTTTAATTAAAAAATTCCCAGCTTTGTATCCCTGCAACCCAGTAGAATGTCCACTGCACTGACCGTACTGACACGCACTCTCTCTGTTCGCTCAACTGCTATGTGCGGACACGCAACCTAGAATAATAAATAACCGGGCCTTGTGAGAGGTTGGCTACTCAACAATTACTACGCACCTATTTTATTCAATTCTTGGAAAATTCAAAGATAAATTCACCGTTACTATTTACTTGAATCAGACGAAGATTTGTCAAAGATTTTAATTTGGAATGCAGGGACCTGAACTATTGGGGTCATTCCTGGTACAAATCGAGCAAGCAAATGCTCTATTTGTATCTACTTTGCAGAAGCAAATGTTAACAGTTTTACACGAGATCTAATACATTTTGGGCTCAAGCGTTTGCACTCTGAATGACGTCAACAATCCAACCAATGCTGAAATTATTCATAGTTCTGCATTCTCGTAATATAATTTTTTTTGTTGGTAAGTGCGGAGACGTGTTTTGACTGCTGCCTGTCCACGGTAGTCAATACCGTCACCGAACCTGCGGCGTCATGCAGGCACGCGATAACTTTTGCAAGTTTATTTTTTTTCAATCCACCTTGTCTTTAGATGAAGTTTGTTATTTGTGGTTACATTGTTCATGCATGCGTACAGTGGTGTGTACTTATGTTAATTAAGAATAATTAATGTCCGTCTTAGAAACATTCTATTCGTGTAAGGATGCTTTAATGC